ATACCTCTTGGTGGCAGAGAGCTGTCCACTCTCAGCAGCCGAGAGATCCCTCTCGGCTGGCGAGAGTTGTACACTCTCAGAGGCCAAGAGGTATTCCTCTCGGCCTCTGAGAGTCGTACACTCTCAGCAGCTGAGAGGAATCCCTCTCGGCCGTTGAGAGCATACACTCTCAGCGGCCAAGAGGTATTCCTCTCGGCCGTTGAGACAATTCATATAGTTATTTCATTTTTTTTATTTTTTATTTTTATTATTTTTTTGTTGGGGAACGACTCCCAAACCTTTTGAAGGTTTTGGAGTTCCGACTCCCAATTTTGGGGTTGGACGTCCTGAGGACCGTCCACAAATGGTCCTCTCGACGTCCCAGAAATTTGGGAGTCAGAACTCCAATTTCTGGGAGTCGTTTGACTAAGACCCTTTTTTTATTTTGAAAATGTGTGTGATTCTATTTGAAAATAGGCAATGAAGTTCATGATTTTGAACTTCAATTTGCAAATTTGGCAGAGAGGCTCGAGCGCAATCTCAGTATAAGCATATTCTATTCCTGCAAAATGAGAATTTGTCTTTTTTCTGTTTGTTCTTTTAAAAAAGATTGGTATGGAAATAAAAATATGAAAAAATACAGAAAGATCAAGAAGATGTCATAGAACAAGAAAAAAAGCACAATGAAATTTTGAGAACAATAAAATCAAAAACAGAGTGGAAAATGCAAAAAAGAACCTCGAAATCATGCCTGCCTCACGCAAGCTTTGAGTAATAATATGTAAGCCTCTCTGACAAGACTGGGCTGCCGCCCAGACCTGCCCGCACACGACTCTTGTCACGAGAGGCTTAGTTAAGCTTGGGGACTTACGAACTTTGCAGGGGTGCTCGCCTGAGTCCACTCACCAAAACAGGCTGGAAATTCACTCTTTGAATTTTCCAGCGTGTAGTTTTGATGCCGTCAATCCCAGCAACCAAAACTTAGAAAGAGCAAGGCTGTTGTGATTTTTAGAGCCCACAACCTCAGCTAGATACCCACATGGGTTTTTTTAGCAAATTTTTGAAGCCTATCAGGACGAGTCAAGACCACACCCATCTCAGGCTGCGCTTGGGCCCCGGGCTCAAGTATGGTAAGTTTTTATTTTTTGTTTTTCAGCTTCGCTCTTTTGATTGAAGATATATCTTCAAAATCAGAGCTGACAGAAGGCAAGCCAGGATGCAAGTGCATCTTTCCCCCTGCAGAACCATACATCTAGCTTGCTTGTCCTTTGAGCTACAGTCTCTGGAAACTGAACCTGCTTTCCAAAGATTCCCTCAGGCGAGCACCCCCGCAAAGTTCATAAGTCCCTCCCTGTGGGAGGGGTGGCTTCGCCACCAGCCAGTGCTTTACACCAGCGAACCTCCCACCAGGGGGGACTTAGTTAAGTTAGGATGATACACGACTATATATTCATTTTTTCTTGGGGGGAGTTTTTGGTTTTTGATTTTTGGCTTGGATTTTATAAGCAAATATACATTGATATATATATATAAGTAAGTATGAAGAGTAAAATAACTTAAGAAAAAAAAGAAGAAAGAAACCAGCTATTCAATCCTCCTCCTCCTCCTGATCATCAGTGGCAGCAGCAGCAGTCCCACCACCACGAGAGAAGAAAATGCATATATAGACAAGAGACGAACGAAGGGGACCAAACGACGCGGAGGCGATGAAACAATCAGAACCAAAAAAAAACGAAAAAAAAACCTGAACACAGGAAAGAAGCCAAGAAGAATTCAATGACAAAGATGATGATGATGATGATGGACGAGGTTATTATGGACGATATTAGGGGCGGAGTCGGAGTCGGACTCGGAGGCGTTCGAGGAGGGGGAGTCGAAGGGATGATCGACGAAGTCGTCGGACTCCGAGACGGGCGAGATGTGGCCGAGAGCCATCGTAGGACTGGAGAGGAGCGGGTTGTCGTCGACTTGGCCGAGCGAATCCTCGCCGTGGTGGTGGTGGTGAAGGTGATCTGAATGTGAGTGGGAGTGAGAATGGTGATGAGAATGGTCATGGTCATGAGAGTGCGAATGCGAATGACCATGGTCATGAGAGTGCGAGTGCGAATGATCATGGTCATGGTCATGAGAATGGTCATGCGAATGCGAATGGCCATGCGAATGAGCATGTGCACAACCGCTCGGGCCCTTCCTAAACGAGGCGAGTTTGGCGTGTTTGCCTAGGGAGACATTGACGGTGAGTTCGAGAGCGAGTGGCTGGAGAGCGGCGCGGATGGCCTCGGACAAGCGGAGCAGCTCGGGTGCGGGGGTGTCGTGGCGGGCAAGGACGGGGAGGGTGCAGACCAGTGGCCCGGTCGGATTGGCGGTTAATCGCCATAGCTTGGGCGGGTCGATTCGGAGTAGATAGGTTTTCAGGACGCTGGCTCGGTGGGAGTCTTTCTCGAGCTAGATGAGTGTTGTTTTTTGGGGGATCACAATCACTTTTCAGTATATCCTTCTTGTTTCTAAGGTGGATATGGAGAAGAAGGAGGACATACGTTCGAGAGACGTCGAGTCAGGTCTGTGGCTATGGGGGCTAATGAAGAGCTCTCGCCTGGGGCGGTTTGGAGCAGTACTTGAGCGGTGTCAACCAAGACTGGCCAGACGAGTTTGACGATGACGAAGACCAAGAGGAGGGCGATGAGGCCGTCAGCCTTTCCGGACTGACTCCTATTTATCCCCAATAAAAAGAGACATTTTTTGTTTGTTCAGTTAAATGCAGACAACTCAAGAACCTGTAAAAAAAAAGAGTCTTACGGGGAGATGAAGCATGAGGCGCCCATGACCAGTAGGCCGAAGCCCAACGATAGACTTGAGAAGGGGTTCAAGAGTGCCTCGGAACTGACGGTGTTCCCGACGGCTGCAATGAGGGTCATCGAGCGATGGTTGTGGGAGACGAGGGCGTTGAAGAGGACCAGAAACAGGGCGGATCCGACCAGCGTGCAAGAGACTTCCATCCTTATTATTTCATCACCCTCCAATCAGCCCCGAGCCTTTCGACTAACCAACTAGAAATAATAAAAAAAAAGGGGGGGGGGGGGGGGAAGGAAGGAAAAGAAGGGCTCACTCTGATTGGTGGCGTTCCGAGTGGCCCACATGGCTGCCCCCTCCTCCCGTGTTCTCTGAGCCGTGCGGATGACTCATCATCATGTGTTCTACAGCTTCCTTGCACACGTAAATCGCACTAAATAGTAAGAACAGGGCTTGGGTGAATAGACTGAGGGTAGCCAATCTAGCCCTCCTATATTGCCAAAAAAAAAAAAAAGTGAGCAGTTAGTTACAACTTAAAGAAAACTGGGAAGAGGGGAGATATAAGCGAGTGAAGGATTTACCCAAAGGGTAATCTGATGCTAGAGGCGCCATCTTTACGACCTAAAGCTTCCCAGAGTCTATCGATTCCGTCGTCGGAAGAGGGGTGGAAGAAGAGGGCATGGAAAGCGCCGAGGGCGTCGAAGACGAGCAGATAGCCCAGGCCGGCGAGGGAGAGACAGTCGGCCTGTTGGCCCCTGAGCCAGAGGGAGGCCCCGATGGCCAGGGCGGAGGCGGCGACGAGGATCTTGAGCTGGACGAGCTTGGAAGGGTGGCTGAGGATGGTGAGGAGGATGCGGATGAACATGGTGCGATGGAGGTGGCGATAACTCTTGGGAGCACTCGTCGGCAGACTTTGGGATGGACTACTGCTGTGTGGATCGGTGGGTACTGGCTTGGGAAGCGCGGATTTCGGCGTGACCGGTGTCTTTGGGAAACTCCAGCTCGGGTTGATCCTTGGCTCCTCGTGGCCCTTCTTATCTCTCTGGTCTGCTTCATCTGCTCTAGCGTCCTCCTGTCTGTTTGTACAACATCCCTCGATCTCTTTCTGACTCGTCTGGGCATTCGAGCCTGAAACCGGTTTTTCTGACAAGAAGGGGAAGAAACTGTATGTACAAGTCGATTCGGATACAGTTTTAGAGTTAGTATATATTTTAATTCAAAGGCTGGGTTCTTGGTTTCAGACTTAACTTGTGAGAGAGAGAGTGTCGGTGATGATGGCCCCTTCGGGTCCTTGCAGAGAGACTGCCACTGAGGGAGGTAGTATTTGTAGATGAGGGTGGAGATTGGGTGTTATCCCAGACGATCAAGTTGGCCGAGGGGATCTCGAGGACTTGTTCATCGCTCTCGTGCTCTATCAGCTTCTCCTTCTCAGCTCGTCCGCGTAGTTCGATCTGCTCTGGATGGGGGAAGAAGATGGAGAGGTTCCTGGTGTGTATACGTTGGTGGTGTTGTTGTTGTTCTTGGTTCTTGAGTGGTGGTGGTTTGTTGGCTGGGAATACGAATGGTTGGTGTTGATGTTCTTCTTGTTCTGCTGTTATGATTTCCATGGTTTTGTTTTGGTTTCTTGTTTTCTTGTTTTCTTGTTCTTGTTTGGTTTTTTTTGGTTTTGGTGGTGTTTGCTGGGTTTTTGGTGGTTGGTGGGCTGGGTTGATCTCACTGCACCACTTGCCTGACTAGTCCGACTGCAGACTGCACACTACAAACTCAACAACTCATCCATCCAGCAGCAACTCATCCATCCATCCATCCAGCAACAAAAAACAAAAAAACAAAAACAAAACAAGAGAAACCATCATCATCATCATCCCCTCCAACCAACTCACTACTCATCCATCACCAACCATCAGCCTAGCCGTATCAGGCAGGCACCCCAATAAACGCGATCATCCATCAACCAAGGATATCCAAGTCTGCTTGAAATAACCTGATCATGTGCAGGAAACCAAGACAAAACAGTGGCAAACCACAATTCAGATGGGCTCCCCTAGCTATTACTTTTTTTGTGGGTAGAGCATCACCCTCATCTGATCATGATCCCTCCTTAGGTATAAGTTTACATGTCAACTTGGAGGACCTCCCTTGAATTGTACAGTCCCCATTTTTACAGCTTCTCAAGCTGTTTCTCCAGCAAAACATTTTTTAGCTTTACCGAGCCTGCAGTTCTACATCCATAATTACCTTTTCTAAAAATAAAAAAAAGTGGATTTACAGGGTGTAAATGAAGAAATAAGATGCCTGTAAATCTGCAGCCTGTCAAACTGACGGGCCTTGTAAAGCTAGATTTATAGGCTTGAAACCTTTTTTTTTGCTGGGAAACCCGTCATAGAGCCTATAGAAATGGCTTTACAGGGGGTTGTGAAACCAATGGGAAGTCCTCCACTATATATGTAGTTGCTCTATCAAAGTTTTTTATGCTATGGATCAACACTGGCCCCTCATGGGTTGCTACTTGATTCTGTGCTATCTGCATTATCTCAGTAATGTAGTGCACTTGATTCCTTCCCTCATACATTAACATTATCTGTAGTGGCAGATTTTTCTCTCAGGCTACTAGTAGTGTTATAATGATCAAGTTTTTTGTCTGTAATGAATGGATAAGGTAATGCATTATCAGATTGTCCAGAGGTTAGGTGACCCTAAACAGATTTTAAGCCACAAATAGCCTCTCTTCATTTTGGGCTTTGGCTGCAACACATGCCACAAATGTCCATAAAGTTTCACACGTCTTACCAATATTTAGTTTTTTTTTTTCAAAAAAAAATACAAGTGGCTGATAGTGTGATGAACATGAAACAAAAATTCTGAGGCAAAATGGATAATTGTAATGTGCAAACAATTTCCAAACATCATGGTAAAATTAATGATAATGAGCGGAAACTCACTACTTTATCTTTAATATGCTACCATTATGGGTAATGTAAATAACCAGTGTGGCATGGATGAGGTATGAGGGTAAGCAAAAAAAAACAGGGAAGAAGAGGAAAAGAACACTCCAACACAACATCCAGGTGGTCTGTAAATAAACGTTTTAGGGCGGCATAGAAGTGGTCAGACAGTGTATCCATCTCAAAACCAATGGCCCTACTAGTTTTTTTCAGGTCAACCCTTTCACTTCTAGTAGTAAGTAAGGACCCAGAAAAATGCTGTGCCTTAAAATTGGTCATCTGTCACTTGAGTCTGTTGTTTTTCAGAATTGGATCATCAGCTGATGTATTGTGGGCTTTGAATACAATCAACCTTAGTCTACTCACTTCCCAAACTTGTCTGAATTCACAATAATAGACATATGATTGTAATCACTGTAAATACATAAAACAAGTCAGGACCATCAAAAATCTTGAGCAATTGCATGAAAAAAAAAAATCAAATCAGCTAGTGAGTCTCTCTCAGACAAGTTTGACATATTCTTTCAATCTGCCCTCACCAAGCTTGTCAGATGACAGGTGACAAGAGGCTTGCTTAAGAATCAGCTCTATTTCAGCCCCCTGTAACACACAAATGGGTCATTTTGTTTCAGTTGGTCTAGCACTGGAGCTACAGTGGGGTAGGAATCTGTATTGAGGAGAATTGTTGGCCGGCCAGATTGACAGCTTAGGTTTAATCAAACCAAATTCAAACTGCAGCCCAAAGATTGCACATACTTTTGAAGGCAGAAATTGATTTTGATCAATGTAAAGCAAGCCAGGCTTTCCATTTCTGAGCCACATTGGGCTTGTCTTCATGATCTCATGACATGCTATTCAAAACTGATAAAATTCAGTCTTCAAGAGCAAACAACAGTGAAAAAAAATTGAATTTTACATACAACAGGCCAGCAGGCCAGATGAGGATGTATTTACAGATCCAGAAAAAACTGTTGGAGATTGACTTGGGACAGGGCAACAAGATTGGCATATTCATAATTTAACCATCCTACTGATAAAGATCTCAATCAAAATAGTTATCTGCATGGCCACTCTGACTAGCTAGGCCCATGCCTCTTGAAAACCATTCATTATCAATTTGAACAAACATGAATAAATGATACAATATGCCATTCATGATTCAATTAGATTGTATTTTTGCAAACTTGATTCATATGAAAATATGATTTCTCTTTGTCAAGAGGATTTCATCGAGGTGTTTCATGAAACAACAGTGTTTCTAAGTTTCCAAAAAGTATTGAAACATGCTGTTTCAAAAACTGCTTGATTTTGATTTAGTTGTGTGGGAAATCCCATACAATGTGGAGTGGGGAACACTCGTTCAATCAGTGTTTCACATCCAAAAATGTGATTGGATACAGCCCCCTGCACAACCTGTGGCCAACAAACACTTGCAGGATAGTTTTAACCTGTGAAAAATTCAATCGGCTTGATTTTCTGTATTCGTGTTCCCTTTTTTTATCAAAGTTTTTCGGAAAAACAAAACACATCAAGTTTGGAACAAAAAGGGAAAACTTGTGTAGCCTTTAACTGCACTAAAACACTCAGGATGCAAGTTTTTTTGGAAATTTGCACTGTTAGCCTCACTCAACTCTCAGTTCTTCTCAGCAGTTGTTAGAGGGGGTCTTCATCCACTTGTGGAGTTATCTTTGCCCTTGAAGTATGAGGAAGGTAACCTGGTTTATCCTTCCCTATCCCCATCATTTCAATGCTTCCTAAAATTTATGTGGCACATTTTTTTCGTGGTGACAGGATCAGAAAAACCTATGTTGGAAACATTAGATCTTTTTGGTTGGTCTGCACAGTGGTTCTTTTGTCCAACAAAATTACGTACATGGTAACTGACATCATATCTGCCATGATGAAAATAAAAAAATAAGGTCATGATAGAAGTAATGAGCCACCACCCATTGTGAAAAATTCGTGCAAAATAGAATATGAGAAGACTATTGAGCCTGCTTCAAAGAGGCCAAAGGTGGATCTGGAGCTATCACTGGGTTTCTTTCTGGGTCAGGATGTAGGTAAAATACCAGGGCCATACAGTTTTAAATCCCCCAAAACACATCATATTGGTAAGTCTGCTTGGTTCATCTCTTGATTTGTTTGAAAAATTATACTTGAGAAGAACATGCAGGTACTGCATGAAAATATCTGATGTTAGTGCAATGCAGGATCAAGTCACTCAATTGACACTATTCCTTTAGATTTCAATAATGGTTTGAAGTCATCAAGGGAACTAGAAATTCAATTTTCATGCAGAAAAGAGAAGTGGATGGAACTTATATTCAAGGAAAAAACAGCATTTAGTGCTGAAGATGATCATACTATCAATAATTCATGCAGAAATTCCAAGGATAATTTCCATAAAAGTGCTACAAATTCTGAAAAAATTAAAAAGGACAATCCAAGTGATTCCAGAAGTTCTATCAAGACAATCCAGACCAGCTCAGAAAGAAGTGAAACAATCTCAAAAAGCATTAATCTCCAGAATTCAAAAACTTGGGCTTGGATTGCAATTATATTGAGCCATTTGGAAGTTGTGGTAGGAGATGAGTCCAAAACATGTGGAAAGATTACAACAGACAAATTAATCAATGCATACTATCCCTACACAATGATCAGAAAAGAAAAATCAGCAACAGAATCATATCAGTATAATCATTCAAGACTTAGATTGAAAGAATTCCTTGGGATCTTGTGGATTGCAAATTTCCATTTATTGAATATTTTGGCTCCTGATAAGTCAAAATCCCATTACATTGAGGAGCAGAGATTATTTCAGTCATGGTTTTTAGATCTACTTTCAAGTAACAAGAAAAACTTGTTCATCAAGAAAAATGCCTATCCAAAGGATTATGAACAGTGGGTAAAAAGTGATGAAGCAAAGATTTGTCAAAAAATTAAAAATTCATTGGAATCAAAAACTGAAATGGAAGCATACAAAGTATACCAGGAAGGATTGATTGGAAAATGTATTTTGGTAACAAAGGCAAGATTTATAATGAATGAAGCTGTGTTTGATGTCCTTGATTATTATTACAAAATGATGATGAGTGGAAGATATCAATTTCCTTTTGAAAATTACAGAAATGCTGTACTTGAATTGTTTAAATTTGGAAATTCAATGAAATACAGAACAAAAGAAGGAGAAATGCATGGAAATCAGAAAAGTGAAAATCAAGCTTCAACAACAAGGAAAGAATTCTTGAAACCAGAATTTGGTGAATCCATCCCAAAATATTTAACCAAAGAACAAGTTTCATTTCCAATCAACGTCAAGCCAATTTTTGATGAAGAAAATATAGAAAAGATTGGAAAATTTGACATTCATCAAGATTTTGAAGCAGATAATCAAGTTGATGAAGCTTGGGCATGGATCTCAAGGTTTAGATTAAATAAAAACTTCACCTGCAATAGATTATTTCAACCCACATCCCACAAAATAGTCAATCAACTTAAATTTTACCTTAGAAATGTTGCTGGAAGGCATCTATCAGGGGAAAAGAAAGTGATACTTGAAGAAAAATCTCGAAATCAGATGCTTGACAAATTGGATATCATATTTGGTACTCTTTGGATATTGAATGACAGACTTCTTCAGTTCTTTGGATGTAAACTCATTGGGGAAGATTACATCAATGAACAAAAGTCAGTTCAAGTTTTATTTTTATCTTGTTTTTCTCAAAACATTGTAGAAAAAATAGGAGTATTTCAAAAGGATAGTAATGAAAAGAGGAAATTATCTGGAAAGATGAAAGAAAAAATTGTCGCTTTGATTTTGAATATATTCACTTTAGATAAAAATGAAGACAGATTCAAAGTTAAGAATACAGCAAAAAATAAAAATAAATTGATATTGAAACAAGAGGATCTTATTTTTGGAGAGGCTATAGCAAACATATTGGGTTATTACTACAAGAACCAGAATTATGAAAAGTACAGTTGTTTTTTTGGAAGCGACACAAAGTTTTTCTGATTTCTTGTTGGACAAAGCTCCCAGATGTTCTACTCCTCTGGACCCACAAAAAATGAAAGGTCCATAAATTACCAACAATATAAGAATATCCCATGGAAGGATAAGATTGATGAAAGAATGCCAAAAATTTCACACAAACTTGGCTCAAATTCTTTAGAAAATTTAAATATTTTGGTACAGCCAGTTCATAAAAATTCTTGAGAATATTTATTGCTTCATTTCACTATTGTATTACTATTCAAAATCAAAACACCAATCATTTTTCCTTTTATCCTTTCCTCCATTCATCTTTGAATTTGATTTTTATTTTTAACTCTGAATCCATCATCAGTTTTTGATACTCACTTGAGGGTTACCTTTTGACCATGTTGAATGAAACCTATCACATGATTGGCTTTAGTTTGTACTGCAATGGTTAAGTACCAGAGAATAGGCCAGATATTTCCATCAGCAGCACTGCCACCAATAACCCACTATTTATAATTTTTGAACCACAATCTCCCACAGTCACAACCACTTGTATCTCAGGATCAGCACAAATCACCAATTGAACCACTCTTATAGCCTTTGTGCCTCATTAAGACTTTCCCAGATTCACATAAACTTAGGAAAGAAGAACTTTTCTGAAGATCTATTATTTCTACCATGCAGATCAAGCAATTTCAAGATCTCTTCTGCTCATTTATAATTTCCAATGTTGCTATTTCTGATGCAACTATCATCATATCGAGTACAACTTTACTACACAGCAGAGGTATTTTCTTTTTTGAGCACAGCCACATCAGTTACTTGGGATAGATGGAGGGAGGGAGAAAGAGAAAAAAGGGACACACTTGGTCAATTTAGTTTTCATTTTAAGCTTTGGTGTTATACACCCCTCATATGTGTTTCTCAATAGTTTCACACATAGTCTACTATGTTGGGGTCAGTGGAAGTGGAAGGACTCCTCTCCCAATCCTTCCACTGCCCCCAGGTATTCGTAGCTCATTTATATTCTTTTTTTCTAACTTTTTTCCTCTTGTCATTCCATCTTTTCAGTCTATCATTCATCACTCATGCCACAAATGGTCCTTCCACAAATGTAATTAATCTCACTCAGCTGCCCGTGTTTTGTTTCCGGAGGAAAAACAGGAGATTATTTGTAATCAAGAAAAGCTTTGACACCTGAGAGGGGCTATATGATGTATGCAATTTTACATTGCTGAGTTTGATCACTCGAGGACTACTGTGACCAGGTGAATAGTTGAACTATTTGGGATACAGCACTATGTTCTTAAGTGAATTGAAAGAATGTTGAATTAGAACTATCCTGTGTTTGCAAGAGGAGTCAGAACAGATCTATATCAATTTGCACTTAGGAAAAGTACCATGGATTGGGTTGTACATCTGTGGAGATGAAATCATGTTAACTTGAAGGGTGTGTCTCAATCTCCGGTTCAATGTCACATCCACCGTGACGGTATTGTACGAACTCTTCGGGACGCCGCCCCAAGGGATCACGCATTTTCATGAGTGAGCTCTGTCTTCTAGTCTCTAAGCGTGTCTTTGCCGGCAGATGAGGATCTAGGTACGCCGACGCGACCCTTCGATATCCACCTCGTCGACGAAGTCGGCTTCTGCATGGGGTGCACGGCTGCCGACGAAGCCGACGAGGCGTGTCCTATTTGTCCAGCTTCTCGCGAACTGGCCTGTATCCGACTCGTCGAGTGAATGGTGCTTTTCGTCTCAGGATGTAATTCTCCCTACCGAAAGTCAAAAATTAATCTCATTGACCATCATTCCCATTTTCCGAGGGGATACTTACTCGGCGGGCGGGAAGTGGCGCTTGAGGCTCTTGCAAAACCAGCCTCGACTCAGTCTCAAGGTGATTGTCACATCTCTCAACATCTGTCGGTTTTTGGTTGCCGCAAAGGGCGCAGTATTTCCATATTATCGGGCGAAATTTCAAAGGACAACCTTCAACGGGACATGTTTTCCATTTCCCACCTGTGACTGTGCAAAGATAGATTCCTTTACATTCTTCTTTCAAGTCACACGCCCCTAGGTGCCCGATGATCCCGGAGAGAAGTACGAAAGAACCTTTAAAAATCTGCATCATGTATTAGACTTCTAGGTCAAGATTGAAAATGAACATTAGGACCATCAAATCCAGGAAGAATTTATAGACAGCAGATTCCGTACCTTGCCTGCCCGAGGAACTATCTGGATGACTCAAAAAGCTTTGCGCAAGTTTACCCAGTAGCAGAATTGATTGAAGCAGCTGGAACAGAGAAATTGTAGCGGAAATTACAACACATAGCACAAAACATTCACTCCTCTCTGGAAAAGATGTCGCTTTATAGCAATCCTTTAAATGAATGTGTCCATCAATCGGATTCCGGTGAATCTGATTCTGACTAGAAGGTGTGAGAATTCGCGCACCCGTCTCGCTTTCGTCAATAAAAACATCCATCTTGCTAAAGAGCGATGCTCACAGTGGCATGAACGTGTCTGGAATGTGTGTGACCGTTGTATGCAAGACTTGGATGGTATGCTCACAATAGGTCTACTGGTTCCGAGATTGAAAATAATAGTCATTTGTCTCAAGTTTTTGTATTCACCCTCAGGTCTCACGTGGTAACATCTTCTGTTCAAGGAACGCACTTGACCGACATCAGCAGGATCAAAGATCACATGACTGATAAAAGTATTGAAAGGAGAGAAAGCCAAAAATACGCAATCTCACATAGTTATGCATCTTCATTCTGAATCAAGAACAAACACTGGGTTGGTCTTCTCCAGGGATTATTGAAAATTTCATCCAATTAAAATTAAATGATGATTCCTGGTGTCATAGGATACCGAATACATATGACTTCTTCAAACGCGTTCCTCAAACTAGTCCCATGGAGTCAACAAACATCAGAGCAAGCACTACCGAGCCACTCGTGCATAACCACTCTTGCCGAGCCACTCTTGCCTAGCCACTCTTGCCTAGCCACTCTTGCCTAGCCTTGGCGCGTTGTATACTTATCATTAAATTAAAATCTTCAAGTGCCGATTATAATTAGTGAGAAGGTCCATATCGGACCCGACGTTGTGGGCCTGTATCCTTCTGAGACCACTCATCCATATTCACGCTAGTGTTTCCAATCATTACATTACATTCTGAGAACGCTTTTTACGCGGGTTTTGTGGGAAGCTACACATCGGCTGAGTTGGCCCGGTTTTTTTTTATCGGACTCCGGAGTCTCGGACCAAGGAACGGGCAATGAGAGGCGGGAATGTATGGCAGCTCCCCCGAAATTTAAATCCAATCCAGCACATTGGCAAGGAAAAGAGGGTAGAAAAATGGCACAACAAGGTGGGCAAAATTGTAAAGCTAACCGGCCAGATCCAACGGGAAGTCGTCCAATATTCACCAATATACTCATCTCACAGCTCGCTCAGTAGACTCGCTGTATTGCCATCCTACGTGGAGAGGGATGTCGAAGCCCTTTCTGCTCTTCCTGGCATGGGTTGGACTAGACTTGAGCATATTTTCAGAATTCCTAGCCCCCTAGGAGTATCCTATCTGCTTTTATCAGTACATACACCCCCCCCCCCCTCTGCCGTCTTAATAAAGTCACGCCTATCCAAGATCCACCAGGCCTGCTCAGCTGTTAATCCGACTGGCTCCTTTGAAGGGATCCAATAATTGATTTCCAAAAAAAAGTCTGCGCTGTGATTTGTACTCCGCCTGTGGTTTAAATTTAGGTTTTGGAGTGATTGATCAACCCTTCACATGCTAAAACCCTCCGAACTGGTTGTTAGTTTCCGCGCATTCCGTGCAGACGAGCACATTCACTGGGATTGTACGGACTTGCGATCAAGTCACATGGAAGCGAGATTGGCTCGTGTGAGGCTGTCGTCATACGAGATAATCGTGAAGGGTTCCACTCACAGTTCTTGATGGAATTAAGTCAGGAGTGCCGATAAACGAAAGATTGGTGATCGGTGTGATCCTAGCTCGGTAGTTTCGAACCCACTCAAGTGAGAACTCAAGAGTCAAATACCACGAGTGGGCTCCAAGTAAAAAAATGAAGATATATTCTACGTATCCGTTTGGCCCAGCTGCATAGAGTAATACTTCGATTCAAAGATAGAAATTATACCTTCGAGAGTGCTAGAACTTCAAAACACTCGAATTTGGTAAGCATTCATTTCCATATATCTCTACAAACTCGATCAACAAAAGTGAACTCGCATTCACTGCAAAAACCAATTTGCCGTCACAACCGAAGCTATTTTTCCGCTTCTTCGAATTCCAGCGGGGCTTACAACAAAAAAAAAACGCAGGGCGAAAATGAGGATAGGACATATTCTAAGTGGTTTTCTGACAATCCAAGCGATTCTGGGGACGATGACCACGCATCAAATCGATCTTGCGGTTTCGAAGGATGGCGATTCGAAGGGTACGGCCAAAGCTGGGCCACACGGCAACTTGATTGCTCCGAAAGCAGGCAAGCTCATTCGAAGCGTCGGCGGACTCGGTATGCTGTCGGTCAAATTCATGAAGTACGTCGGGAACGATGGCCAGACGATTTCAATTGATATCAACCTAAGGCCGATTGACAATGATGAAAACAGGACAACATACTTGGTTGTGATTAATCCTCTCGGTCTTCCTTCTCAAGATCTTCTTTTTCAAAAACTAACTGAAATTGTTCTTGTTCTTTCCGGTCCTTTGGATTGGCAATCCGTTCTGCCCCACCGGAAATCATAATCATGGGATTCTTTTATCTCTTTGCTGGTCACAGCTGGGGAACGGATTGTCATCCGGGAGGAATAACACTACCATTGATGTCCATTTTAGCTCCAGATGGGCTTGCGGAAGTTACAGTTAAGCACCAGTTAATAATTTTCAAACGAGAAGATGTTTTTCTGACGAACCCCTTCTCCAAACATCTTATATATCAAAATACTCAACTGATACGTCATAGACTTGGTTATAACAGAACACCAACTTCACAAAGGGGTTCATATTTCATTCCAAGCAGCGGCACCAAAGATCAAGATTACTTGCGTCCCACTTGAGTAGCATGTTTCAATTCAAGTTATGTTCCCGATGAATAACTGGGGCGTTTAGTACTTGTTTACGAGTCTTGAAAAGAGTCGTGAAAATATCCTGCATGCATCGCAATCTCCTGGAGTTAAAAATATAATTAGAAAGTGTTGAGAGCACAACAATCATGATTAAACCCAACTGCGACCCAGGAATGATAAGCACCCCATTGCACCCCGAGAATTATGAGAGAAAAAAATTGGCCTGAACCAAACTATATAAATAAATCTTTAAAAATATTAAACTGAGGCACATTTCACTTGGAGTCTTCTGGAATCTGGGAGGGGGATTGGAAGTGAGGTTCAAAAAATTTCAGTATTCTGAGTGGATGTCAAAAATCACTTTCAGTTGAATCCTTATGGTGGACTCCCCTAGATTCAGAACCATACTATTTTGAGATATGCTGCAACATGGACTCATTAGCCAACTCACCTTGGATGGTTCTTGAATCTATTATCTGATGCATCAGCAAGGCAAGCTTGTTCAGATAGTCGCTGGCTTCAGGTTGGAAGGGGGTTGGGGTCGTAGCCCCTCGCTGAGGGGGTCCATTGCCATTCAAGTCGTCAGCCGACCCGATTGAACAGGATAATTTCCTTTCAAAATTTGCGGGTCCTGTTATGTACTGAGGACAAAGGCTAGATTCCCCTTCGAGAATCTAGGTCCTTGAGTCTGAACCTCCATCTGTAAGGGCTTCAGATCCCACAAGAAGTCCTCCATTTAATTGCATTTTTCGAGAGGCCGGATTCCGGAAAGCTGTGGAATTTTAACAGATCAAACTATCGATTGAGAAGACACGAGATGGAGCAGCACGAACTGATGCAATCCGTCTCTGGCTTGGTCCGATTTTTTCAGACGCGGGGTGCCGGAGGAAAGTCGAAAGAGGAATGCCAAGGTGAGTGTTGCATACACGAACTTGATATCGGTTCCTGGCAATGATACTAGGCAAATTTGAAGGGTTTGCGTAGAGGACGCGTCTAATGATAACTGGATGTATTCTTTCCTGTCTAATGGAGTCGTTCAGAGGTTTTAAGGAAGGCAATTGGATACATCATTAATCGACTACGCAACTATCGAACTCGGGTCTCGTTTCTCTCGGACTCGTTCTCGCCGAACGATCTAACTCATTTTCGAAACGAAGTACCGCACCGGTTAGACCAGCTCTTATTACCTCGATTGAAGGAGAGAACATTGGCATTATCGCTGGCGATAGAGCCAACGATGGACAGCCAGGGTGAATTTTATCGAGCCTGGTACAAGACCATTCTGAGTCAGTTGATAGGTATCGAAAGAGTCTTGGAAAGATTCGAAAGGGCCATCGCTCTAATCTGGACCAGCTTGCCTTTGAGCCTCGGGCCACCAGGAGAAAATAGTCCTTATATGATAACCCCATTCAGAAGTAGAAAGACCAAGCGGATGATCAAAGACCTCCTCACTCGCAAATTGCGTAATTTCTTGGTCGAAGCAGAGTCTGTTTTTGCCGATTCCAGACCCGCAAACCCGTCGAGCGATGAGGAGCTCCCGACGGTCGAACGGTGGCGCAGTGTGTTGAGACTCACAGCAGTAATGTCGGACAGGATCGATGAAATCAGACGATGGCTTCAGAAGCCTTTGATCGCGGTGGCCAAGGAAGAATGGCAGGGGCTGGTCGAACAGATCGACAACTCGTTGAGGTTGCTTCTCAAACACCTCAATGCAACCTACCATAAGCTCGAGAAGGGTTATCAGTCGGATTCTGATTATGAAGTGGTCTTCTTGGATGGGACGAGGATCAAGTTCGTCCAAGCCGGTCTCCCGGTCATCAAGCTATGTCGGGTCTACTTCAACAAACTCTCGCGACCCACGAACAGCATGTCTTTGATTTTTGTAGAAAATTCGATGAGGCTCGGAGCGGCTCGCTTGGACAACTTGCTCAATTTGACCCAGGATACAGCAGTTTGGATTGACTACTTCGTACGCAAGATCACGCAATCGGACAGCCGCCGACGCGAGATAGTGGACGCGACGGTCAGACTAGCCGGTAGCTTTCTCAAGTCCTCGTCTATCTTAAAAGATTACTGGGACTCACTTTTGGACAGTGGCAATCATGCTCTACCAGTGGATCGAGAGAGGATTGAAGAGGCTCAAAATTGGCTTGAATGTTGGAACATGATGCTCAACCAAGCCACGGGAAATCTGACCGAAGCGACAAGGTCCAGGGGCCCTGGGCCAGTCTCCCATATCGGGGAAGACACCAGTGACGATTGGGATCCAGAAGGGGGGGGCTTGATGACTTAAGACGGACACGATGGCGATTGCTAAGTGGATGAAGAATAGACCAATCAGATGTAAAAGGAACTGTCTGTAAGAAAGTATTACCATTTCAGGAAAAGCTAGTTTAAAAATTTGTTTGTAAATCTGTTCCACATACAACTTTGTCTTTAATCCTATCACCAAGATCAAGACTACTGGATGTATCTTTGTAAAAGTTTTGTCTGTCGTCTTTTATTTCCCACCCCAACCCATACGGGGATAGTTAGGAACCCCTAAAACGCAATCAGTCAAACGTTGGTCATTTGTTTTGAGCTGTCAAAACTAATTTTACAGTATGATGGAGAAAGCCAACTCCGGGACTAAAAAAAATCCTGCGGCATTCGGGCTTCGAATTAAAACATCGTCTTTTGGGCGGAGGACGTCGTGAAAATAAGACTCTGGCAGCCTATGTGGTCTCCAACTTATAGAAACAGGGGACTGATTCCCACGATACCAAAGTAATAAGAGTGCGTATGTACCAGGAATTATGAAGGTCATATGCTGCCACATCATCATCACACTTGCTCCTTTTAGCGCCCACAGCAATCCGGTTTGGTACTCAAGTGTTCAGTTGAGAACAGAGACACTCAGTGAAACTGTAGATAAATTCAGTTTTTTTTTCTAAGCTAGCTGATTGCATTGACAATTAACCCATATGATACACCCTAAGAAAAAAAAAATTGGAAGAAATGACTTGAAGAATGTGTGTGATTTAATTATTTTTGAAGGCGGAGAGAGCGTAATAGACGAGGCTCCTTGAATTTTAGAAGGTAAAATCGGATCATACTTGAGTGTTGTCAGCTCGTCCTGATCTGCTTCTACGCAGAGGAAATCGCAATTAACCAATAGGAAAATGCAAAGCAAGTTAGAATCAAGCTGAATGCTGGGCAATGGATAGTTTCAGAAGAGCTACGTACCGACTCATCCCCTGATCAAGCACCGACTAGAGGGAAGAACTACTCAGATGCCGATGCCGACGCCTAACCCAACGCCGAGCTGAAGATGCCGTTCAGGAAAGAAAATCAGCAACCACGCCGAAAAAGGCTGAAGGAGTAAGAAATGCCTACCCCAAAGCCGAGTCCGCCACCACCACCATACCCTCCTCCATACCCTCCGCCATAACCTCCTCCATACCCTCCGCCATAACCTCCTCCATAACCTCCTCCATAACCTCCATAACCTCCACCGTATCCACCACCGTAACCTCCATATCCTGCCCCGTATCCGCCGCCATATCCACCCCCATAACCTCCACCATATAAGCCTCCATGTCTACCAAAGTACTGTTTGAAAAAAAGAAAAAGAAAATTTGAAATTGGTTTTGTGTAAATTCACAAGAGCGAAACTGCAGCAAAGTTAGGTGTCTTGAGATCACTTACGCCATGAGTCGGAACTGCCTTGATCTCTGGAGTGCTGAGGATGGTCGCGACGATTGAAAGTAATCCAAAAGAAAATCTCATGTTTGCTGTGTATATATGTTTGAGTGATTGGAACGAAGGTATGAGTGGACGATATGTCAGAAGGCTGGTTTTATTGGTGCCAAAATGAACGAAAGTTGGAAGTTTGATGTGGTGGTCAAGGGTGAGGATATTGCTGAAGATCTGAAGAGATTGTATAGGTTGAAGCTAGGTAGTAGCAATGGAAGGATGGATAATCCAAAATTGTGAATCCAAGCCATGCTTTTTATAGTGTGAGCCAGAAGCCTGTGTCTTCGAGTTGAAAGCCTTGATGGAGGGAGTGAAGCATCATAAAGGGAGGAGATTGGCTGCTGAACAACCGCCCAGCACTTGGACCCAGCCTGGTTTAATCCATCGCCAACCCTTTCATGAACCAACCAGCGATAGTTTGTCGGATACTGTTCAGTGGTCCAGCTCTGCATCTGCCCGATAGATGATTAATTCGGTTCACTGCAGTAAGACTGGTCAGGCAGCCAGCTCTGAGACGGATCAAAGAGCCAACTTGGCTCAAATTTACTTTTGAAATGACCGTTCCCGAGCAAGAGTTGCTCGCCAACGATGAGTCCGGTAGTCAGACCTATGGATGTACACTCCTTAGAGCATCTCCACCGCGGGTGGTAAATCCGGGGTGGTAAATGTCGGATTTACCACCCGCATTCCAGAGTTGCCACCTGAGATCAGGCAGGTGCGCCACCGCAAAGTTGTAGACCTTGGCTGAGGATTGGATGAGCGAGCGACATTGGCTTGTGAAAGGGTTACACATATTGGGGTTTCACAAGCGGGATGGCTGGTTTCACACATGCGCAAGAGGTGCCTGGGGTGGTACACGAGTGGTAGATCTACAACCTCGGTACATTTTTTGGACCCGAGATGTTGCTTACCACCCCGTATACCGCCCGCGGTGGGAGGGCGTTTTGGAAATTGGGGTGGTAAACGGGGCTTACAACCCGGATTTACCACCCGCGTTGGAGATGCTCTAATCATTATCGGTTGACAAGTTAGCTGTAGTTAAGGGACTTACCACCAATTCTCAACCGCATTGGACAAAGGTAAATTGGAGCTAACTTGTCTCCGAGCTCAATTTTCAGGTAAGGGTTGACAGACTTATCAACCCTTACCAACAAAGGTAAACCCGATGACTTATCAACACTTACCAACACAAAGCTAGACCACATCACACCATTCCGGCACACCTCCCACTTCAACACATATCAACCACCCCAATCACACCTCAAGCACATATTAAATGCCTTCCAAAAGAGGGGCAAATTGGCTTCCAAACGAGGATGAGCAGCTTTCAAAAAGCTGGGTCAAGATATCGGAGGACTCAATTCAAGCAAACGGCCAGAAACGAGAAGAGTTTTGGAATCGGACTGCTGAAGATTTCAATATTTTTACTCCTGGTGAGAAGAGGGATGGTATTGCTTTAAAGTACCGGTTAGTTTCCCTTTAACTTTTTCAATACTTGTTACTTATTTTTCTCATGTTTGATATTTCTTCTTCAGATGGACACCTCTCCAAAAAGCGACATTGAAATTCTCCGGTATCTATCAGAAGATCACGAAGAACCAACAATCAGGTTCTGTTATTGCCGATCTCCTCCCAAAAGCCAAGAAAACCTATTATGAGGAAGTCGGCAAGCAGTTCCAGTATGAACTTGCTTGGATGATCTTGCGAAATTCCCCAAAGTGGAGAGAATCTCAGCCAAAAGAAATTCAAGATGCTCCAACAACCTCGGTTCAACCAGATCAGGCACCGGCCCCTTCTCAATCAAATGCAACCGGAGAAATCGAATCGGGTTCTACTGCTCCTCTGGCCTCCAACAGCTCCTCCAAACGACCACTCGGTGTGCACTCTGCCAAACGACTCATGAAAGAAGAGCACTTCAACAACAAGAAGGTGAAGGTCCTCACCGAGCACACAGCAGACTATCGTGAGCGAACCAATGCGATGAAGAAATCAAATGAGATCCGTGCACGAGTAGCTCAAGCTGAGGTCAGCCAGATGAATTGGTCAATCATGTCGAAGAAGGAAGAAGACTTACCCGATGAGATCTCACGAAGATATTTGCGACTTCAGAAGGAACAAATTGTCAAAGATCTCGAAGCCCAAATGGAGCAAGATCGACTCGAAAAAGAAGCTCAGCTCAAAAAACAAAACGAAAGCGAACGTGCATCTGACTCTAACCCTCAATCACCACCAGAGGATCAATTGGAGTCTCAATCATTACAAGCACTGCCATCTGACCCCCAATCCATACCACCAAGCGAACCCGAAATGGCTGATCCCAACGATGACTTACCAGAAAGTATTCAATCCAACGAGGAGGAGGACTTGGCGTACTTAGACCCAAGTCTTCCATATCTTTCTTGAGAATCATTCATGCAAAGTACTATTGTTGTTGTTTATCTCTTCCATGTCACACACTCATCTCGGTTGCACTAGTTTTTCTCTCAAAAACAAATCACTCCAAATCGTCAAAAAATATTATGATTTGATCACCAGTTTTTCTATCAAAAAAGACTCCAAATACTAAATTTTTTTGTTTTGACTTCTATGAAAAACATTGACTATTATGAGTAAGAAACTAAGATAACACATGACTTCTTGCCCCATATCGAGCCCAATTATAATCGATGAGATCGTTTCGGAGCCTTCGATTCTGTGCTGATGACCTGAGCTCCACTTTTCGGATTTGCTGTTGATGGGAGGTGAGAGGCTCGTTTCGAGGTGGGATCAACTGAATGTTGTTAGGCAAGCTAAATTCATCGGTAGAATTGGCTTGTTGATCCTCCACAATCATATTGTGGAGGATCACACAAGTCATCATGATGCCTAGCATGTCTTCCTGGGTCCAGAATCGAGCTGGTCTGGTGAGAATAGTCCAACGAGCTTGTAGAACCCCGAACGCCCTTTCAATATCCTTCCGAAAAGCCTCCTGAAGTTTCTGAAAGTGTAGCGATGGCGGGTCTTGAGAGATCCCTTTCACTTTGATGAGTGTTGACCACGAAGGGTAAATGCCATTGACAAGATAGTAGGCATGCTGGTATTTGCGTCCCTGGAGCTCGAATTTGACCCCCCAGGCTGTCCCGGATATTTGAGCTTCGAAAATGTTTGATCGATCAAGAACGTTAATGTCGTTAAGAGCGCCGGCAGTCCCAAAAAATGCGTGCCAAATCCACAGTGACTGGTCAGCAACAGCTTCTAATACTACTGTTGGGCCCTTCTCTTTTCCCTTGTACTGCCCAGCCCATGCCCGTGGGCAGTTCTTCCATGCCCAGTGCATGCAGTCAAGGCTACCGATGCAGCCTGGAAATCCACGTGACGCATTCACATCCAGGATCCTGGTCAAATTGTCGGAGGTTGGCTTTTGCAGATATTTCTCGGAATATAGCTTGTTGATCGTTTCGCAAAAGTACTTGAGACCTTTCCGAGCTGTTGATTCTCCTATACGACAGTATTCGTCCGTTGCGTCCATTGCACATCCATAGGCCAATTGACGAAACGCGGAGGTGGCCTTCTGGAGACTGGATAAGCCTAATTTGCCTGTGCAGTCCTGTGGGAAATAAAAATCAGTAAACTGCCATTTTTTTCAAAAAAAAGGCTCTTACCGGCTTCTGAACAAAGTAAGGGCAAGCAGCTTCAACATCAGCGACAATCTTCAAAAATAGCTCTCTCCTCATTCGGAATCGTCGCTTGAAATCAGTATCGGAGTAAGTCGACCCTTGAACGAAGTAATCTTGCAAGAGTCTTTGGTGTCCTTCAAGATGACTTCGTTCTTTGTTTGGTCGACGTTGGGCTCGGATTTTCTCTTCTTCTTCTTCTGTTTCAAGCTCTTCGAATATATTGATTGAGTCTTCATCTTTGTCTTCCATGTCCCAGTCGTACAGTTCTTCCATTCGACGGCGTCGATTACCGATGTGGTTGGACATAGCTAACTTGATCTAGCTAGTGTGGCTTCACCGTTACCTTCAAACCAATGTGGTTGAGGCAGCCGCGGTAAGTTATTATAACTTATTTCCAATTTTATCCACGCGCTAACCTACCAACACCGATAATGATGCTCTTACACTGTAGAAGTGCAGTAAGAAACGAGTGTGAATGCACTCGTAAAGTGCAAAATTGTCGAATCCCGCTTCCAATCCCGATCCCGCAATCCCGCAATCCCGCAACCACCCACCCCCCTCAATAAATATCTACATTCAAACTGATCGAAGTTCAACTTCAAAAAACAAATACATCCCTCCCTTCTTGATCACCTCAATAGGCCTAGGTGTTAGGGTTAGGGATAGGGATTAGGGTTAGGGATTAGGGATTAGGGTTAGGGATAGGGATTAGGGTTAGGGTTAGGGGATAGGGATAGGGGATAGGGATGGGGGTTGGGGATAGGGGGTCAGCACTCGGATCGCTGAGCAGTGCAAGTCGCTTATTGAGGGGAGCCTGGAGGATTACGGGATTGCGGGATCGGGATTGGATGCGGGATTGGATGCCAACCCACCGCTTTTGCACTATAGAGCTGTACTCGCATGCATGTCTAGCTACACTTCTATAGTGTGAAAGAGGTGGGCACAAAGGTCGGTAGTCACTACCAGGAGACTGTCAGAGAAAGGTCAGCTCCAGTCCTCCGACTTGTTCCGTTTTCATGAAATCATGAGTTAGCGAGACTTGTCGGCCTTTTTTTTTCTCTGCATGTGCCTCAGAATGAGACCCACCCAGCCCATGACTGTCCAAGGCGGTGTCTCATTGTATCCCCAAAGCAAACAGCAGGCCCGTGTGCCTCGCAGTTTAAGCTTAGTGACACTACATACCCCACAAGAGAATGGTTCCTCTATCAAACCAAATCCGATCTCAGCATCTCCAGGTTGCCTCCGATTCACAACGGGGAGGAATTGCTGGAAGGGGGGGGGGTAGATGTATGAATTGAACCTTCAAACACTTACCCCGGCCGTCAGACCGGGTACAAGAATTTTAGCAAGACCGTCTTCACAACTCCCCCCAATAAATTGCTGGTGGAGTTGCGAGTTTAAAATATCATACTGATCTAACTTAACTAAGTCCCTCCTTTTTTCGGAGGGGGGACACCGTCCCGCAGGGACCCTCCAAAGGAGGGACTTATGGGCTAAGTCGCCCACGCGGCCCATGAGTATTAGGCAGTTGGCTGTGGAAAATTTTAAAACACAGCTGACTCCGTCATTCTGAAAGATTTTGCTCCGTGGTTTGGACCACCATAGAGGCGGCAGTGAGGTGCATGTGCCCAGCCTCACAGCTTCCCCCCAACCTCCATGGATCGCTCGCTATTCTTCATTGTCATTTTGGGTCCCTATCAAATATGGGTTATGAGTTGGGACCACATTCCACTGTCTTCGATGCAAGGCGCCTGTCTCGGCGAAAGTATATTGTATGGGGAGATACATGACTGCTATGGGGTTTCATTCTCAGTAACCCATGGGCTGGTATAACGTGTGATGATGAAATGACACCGGCGGCACATCACACGGGACATCAATCATGTGTGAAAAACATTTCCAAGATCCGTGTCTTGCCAAAACCTGTCCCCGCCCGCACAAAGGTATGTTTCCCTATGTTTCCCTTGGACTAGTGAATTTACAGCATCGACTTGCAGTTTTTTTGGCTGATCGGTGAACAAATCTATTGACCGAGTGATGATGTGGTCCGCGAGTGTGACCTCGTTCATCTGGGCCACGTCCTCCGGTAATTTGTTCGGCTTGCTCACCTTGGCGATCTCTTCGAGTAATCCCATCGATCAAGAGAATGAGATACTTGTTTTGGATGCGAATGGATTGGCCTGTTATTTGGGGTATAGCCATTGTAACAGGCCTGCTATTATGGCTCGGGCAGGTGATGTCCGACCAGCTGTATTCTATGCGGCTGACCCGGAGTATCATCATGTCAGAGGTGGCGGTCCATACAGAATTGACCCGAAATCCATAAAATGCCAGCAAATCAAGCAGATGGTGATCGAAGAACAACCTGCTGCCCCCCGGCCTTATGATGAGGCCGATCACATTCTCCCGCATCTGCCGCTTCTTTTGGTGGGCGACTTGCACGGGCTTGATCGTGGGAGGGGACTTGTAGATAGCTTTAAAAAAAAAGCCGCTTTTTTTTTAATCCTCGCGGGCAAGCAAGGCGACTTAGCGCATACACACCGGATCGGGTCCGCCGCCTCGGGTGCAGCTAACGAGGCGCCCTCGTGACCCTGCAAGCGCCTCGCGCGATCCGGGCGTCCAAACGGAACCCGTCATAGTTGCGTGTTGCTGGGCCGCGATTTGGTCGTCTCACCCTGTATGGGTGCGTCTCAGTTATCGCCCACGGAGTCGGAGGACCGCCGCCATCAAAGGCCGGGCGTCATGATGGCGCACCGGCCCTATGGCTCAACAGGTCACACAGCCAGGTCGGGGAGAGCCAAAAAGCTGGTCAATGCCGGGCTCGAACCCGACATTATCTCACACCGCCGAAACCCAAGGGAGCCCACGCCAAACTCATGGGATAGAACACCGATGGAGGAGAGGCAGGATCATGGGTATCTGACTCGCCCCCCAGCCAGTTATTCATCCGACTTCGAAAAAAATCTTCCCAAGTCAAGTCAAAAAAAAAAAAAAAAAAAAAAAGAGATCGATTATTTTCTCGAACACCCACCTAAAAAGACATCTTTCCAGGTGGGTGTTGGGAAAGGAAAAAGGTTGACCGATTGAGCGACCAGTGCCGCCTATCGGCGGACTGATGGCGAGCCCGGTCTCGAGTCAGTATAGCGACCCCGGGCGGTTACAATTGCATGTCGCAGTCCGTCTCGGGTGCTGGTATGGCCTGGGTGCGTTGCACCAGGACGGCCTGGGGCGAACCCAGGTCATTACGACCCCAGCTTGCACCCAACACGTAACTGTTGCATACACTTGGCCGGCAACGCCCCCAGAGGGTGTACAGGCCGCTGCAATCACGCACCCGCCGGTTGCGCAACTAATTTACTGTATTGCGGCATGGGGTCGCCTGTAGTGCTGGTGCGCCTTGCGGGCGAACCAACTTATTCCGATTCGTCCGGGTGTGTAAGTCCCTCCTTCGGAGGGTCCCTGCGGGACGGCGTCCCCCCTCCGAATTAAGAGGGACTTAGATAAGTTAGCATACTGATTCTCCAGCTCATGGTGTATACATTTCCTGTCCTGCGTCCTTGAAAGATCTAGCACGATGCCTAGATTAATACTGGCACTGGAACGCTACGCCCTCCGGTCGAACCCTAGGAGCCTATTCATCAATGGGGGCCGTAACAGCTAGGTGTCAATTCTCACAAAGAATGATGACTAGCTATGGCGAAGGTTGTCGTCAATGATAAGGTTTGCTATAGACGTTGCTGCCACTTTGATACACCGCTTCATGTCCGCCTTGTATGTGCTCCCGAAACTGATCGCAAAGAAGGTCAATACAAGTTACATTGATCACATCCCATCGGCCCGACAGAACAATACGTTTGAGTATTGAAGCATCACAACCAAGAATAATCAGGCCTGGATAGATTTAAAGGTATTGACAGTAACAAAGATTTTTGGCTCAATGCGTCCTTTGCCTATCATTGCCTGTCTGTTTGCTACTTAGTGGTTGTGTCCACATTACAAACCTCCAAAGATGAAAAAATCATTTCTGTGTTTTCTGATACTTGGCCCTGCAGCTCATCTGGGCTTAGTGAGCCCCAGCTTACAACCAGCTCAAAAGGCAGAACAATCAGTGCAGATGGAACACTGGATTGACAGGTTGAGTATAATCACATGGTTTTAGGCATTCCATTTACTTCATTCTCATGAAAGACTCACCCCTAACGAATGAATCTATAGACGTACGATTGACTTGAACGAATTACCAACCGGATTGGAGGTCGGGTTTCAAGAGAACCCAGGGCAAGCCTCGGAAGCGTAGCATTTCAAACCAGAGTCAAGTACCGCAGGACAGGAAGTTATAGTTCTTAGTGAGTGTTTTGTTATATTTACTCCCGGAAATCAATCAATCGTCCAAGGACCACGCTTCAAACTCCTTCAAATCACATGCGTTTGATGGTCTCCTAATTCTTGAGTTCTTTCTAATAGGTGATTCAGAGGAAAACAATTCTCGTGCTAATAGCTCTAAAGTCAGGGCCTCAGCCTACTGTCTAGACAAGGGATTACCTTCAAAAAACAAATCATCCATGAACGACCCTCCCAGTATTGATGATTACCATCAGAATGAAGCCTCCAAATTCCAGTCAGCATTGAAGATTCAACGACCAGGTTTATTCCAAAAAAACCATAGGTTTTTGAATAATTTAGGTTGGTCATATTATCCAGTACATCTTCTTCTTATTACTTTTTGATTTACCAATCGAAGATGAACAAATTAAGCTAAGAATGACTTTCCCTATTGGAAATAATTAGCTAGATACAGATTACACCATCGAGGAGGTTTGAATCGCAGAGTTAGTAGATTGTTCTATAGGGGTGAACCTCCACGGACAACACCGCAAGATTTTGAGCGCGAGCTTTCTGCTCTGGGACTGGGACCGAAAGAGTGGTTCCAACCAAGAAGACACTCACCTGATGAAAGCTCAAGTGCAGGCTCTAATGCACCGATTCTTGTTGGGGAATCCAGCCAGAATGTACCGGTCCAGCACTTCGAAAATAAGCAAATCATTGATCATGAAAATCATCAGAATTATCAATTGGGGAAGTCGCCGCGCTCTCCTGCAAGAATTGACAAGCTGGAAAGAGATCCTGATGATGATGAACATGAAGTGTGTTCTAGATTCAACCCCCCAGTAAAGAGAAAAAATCCCCTCTGAACATACTGGAGTTTTCAGTTCTCCCAAATCATCTACCTTTTTTTGGTGTTCTGTGTTTTGAAATATTGATGGCTGTGCCTATATTGATCAGGTAAAAAAATATTAAACTAAACAATACTCACCAAGTAGTGGTTTATTTTCTATGGTGAAAATGAAGTGATTAAATAGAGATGATATTGTATGTTCTCAAGAAATCTTCAATCTTTTTTTGCTGTTCTTTGTTTTGAAGTATTCATGGCTGCATTGACTTTGAGGGAAAAAATCAAAACAATATCTATGTTTATAAATGAAGTGATTTGATAGACGTGACATTATCCAGCCATGAAGAAAATTTTGGAAATGAAAATACGTGCCTCACAATTGTTTCTCATGGGAAACAACTTTTTTTTTCTTTCTAAATTCAAAAAACAAAACAAAAAACTATACTCTGATATGATCAGCTGATAACATAAAATTTACTAGGATGAAAGTGTTTCTTTTTCCTGACTTTCCCCAGGATGGAAAGGAATAGTTTGGTTAAGGAGGTCATGCTTTTCAGTGTTGTTTATATATGCTCTTTACTTTGAAAGTTGTGCACTTTCCCTTCTCTCCTTCATCTAACTTCAGCATCTTTTCCTGGAGACTGAATGGTGCAAATTTTTTAATGGATGGAATAGTCAGAGCGCTACTGCCATGGTTTGCTAGTTTGTCAAAATAGTTGACTAAGGGCCTGTACCATAGGACATGAAAATTGAATTTCTCAAAATTTATCTTGCTCGAAATTCTATATTATCAAAATTGACCATGACTAGAAGCTAGTCTTGGGCATGAAAGTGAAGAATTTCACCACCAGATCTCTCCAATCACGGCGAAAGGGTTTGTATCGGTTACAACCCCTTTCGCCGTGAATTGTTCCCAGTTTTTGTGTAGAGGATGGAAAAAATGCCCATTTTTGAAAATTGAACCCTATGATACAGGCCCTAACTTTTATTGCATGTGTCTAGTGCATCTTTAGGAGAAAGATAAAAGTCCTTGAATCAAGTGAAAAGGGATTCTCGCAGCGCTGATGCGGCGGGTGAGCTTATCCGATGCGAATTACATAAATTTAAAGTTTTGGGTATTACATAATCTCGATCCGGAAGGAAGGTCAGCATGACGTCATTCTCGGTCGGCTCTACCCCACCCCGCACACAGCCACGGTCCACCACAGCAGGACCCACCACCCAGCAGGCTCGGACGGAGAACAGTTGAGAAAAATAGTAGGATATCTTATACATAAAGTAGGTTACTCGCCAGTCTCTTGCTTCCTTTCCCCTTGGACATGAAACAATATTAATCACTTGAATTCGATCGATAAAGAACTTGCAGGAATCGATATCCAGTACAGGAGGCAAAAATATTGTGCTAAAGATAGAGCGGAGGATTGTAAAAAGAAAACGCGATACATAATATTTGTTTAAAAATAGATAGATCGGAGGATTGTTAAAAGAGTAGAACAATGGCACAGCTGTCGACCGATCGGAAGGGCTCATCGACCCAGGACCAGTCGGACCAATCAAAGAAGGACAGCAACCCCGGCTCTGCAGATTACTCGATCCCAGCCTCTAATCGCCATCCCGATCCGATCTTGTCTCGCTTACTGTTGAACGATCAGTTCGGAAAACCGATCAAGGATCCCAAATTGTTCTTCAGAGATTGTAAGGTAATCTACCACTTTTTGACTCTTGCTTTGTTCTTACCACTTGAGACTGATGTTTGTTTTGGTTTTCTTCATTGTGCCTCCAACACGACTGACAATTAAAATGAAAGGTAGTGGGCTTCTTCTTTTCGGCTATATGGAAGTACGACCGAGAGTCATTCCAGCAACATGTCATCGAACTGTGTCACCGAAACCCGCACCGATTCAAGTGCATCTACATCAGTATCGATTCGAGTCAGCAAGATTTCGAGAAGTCGACGCGAGAGAAACCATGGGTGAATATGATTTGGGAGGACGGCAGCAAGTTGAGTAGATTGATGGATATCCTATGATTCCCTCAAGCTAACCATCAGTTTGTGTTGTTTTAAAAAAAGTATGGAGGAAGACAAGCCAGCGAAACTAGAGAACCTAGATTTTATCACGCCGATCGAGCAAGAGCTAGTCAAGAAGATCCTGGCAGGAGAGGTCGACCGAGCAGAAGACAGTCGGCCGTTGTCGCGGGTGGGCTTATGTTCGGGCCTGGAGGTGCTCTTTGCGCCGACGTTGATGGTCTACCATCTCGAGTCGAGGACCTGGCTGGACTCCAACGTCTCGCATGGGGCGATTGCCTCGAAGGAGAAACGCGAGCTGGCTTTAGAAACGTGGGAGAAAGGGGAACGGTTGACGCTGACTTTGATGGGCAAGCATAAACCACTTCTTTTTTGTTTGTGATCGGTACGGCGGGGGGGTATCACTTATACTAATCCACTTGCTTTCTTTTTGATTCCCACTGGGAATGGATTGGCCTATTAAACAGACATCCTAGTTGGCTTGAGATGGGCTATCCTGATCGCCACCGTCGGGATCATTTACTTCTTCCTTGTCCGGGCCGACGACGCCTACAACATCGTCCATCTCGTCGAGTGGTTCATGGCCGGCGCCGCCGAAAGCTCGCATTCCTCCCCTTCCACTCCGGCTGATTCATCCTCTCCCCCGATCTCTAATCATCTTCATCCTCCTAAAAATAGCCACCAATACGTCGAATTCTAAGCACAATCATTGTAGTGTACACTTCTTACGTCCTCAAAAAAGCATCCTCTTCTCTTCTTCTTTTTTGTCCTCTTGTACAATTCTTTTTTGCTTTTGGTCACACACCACTGTCTTGCAATTGGATGCAGACAATATCAACCCAAAAAAAAGTCATTAAAGACATGATCTGACTGAAGGAAACTTCAGGGGTGATAGGTCATTCTTAAGAAAATACCAACATGGATATGGAATGTGAAATACATGTGCCATTCCTCATTTCACTAGTTCAATCTTGGGAGCAATGGATCAAAAAAATACCGGAGATGAGCACCTTGACTTTCCCCATTGATGGTTCCTGTTCACTAATGAGATTGTCACCAATAGTTACACAGCTATAGTAAAGCTGGCTCTGATCTAGATATAGTCAAGTCTTTGTTGGACAACATCACACACGGTAAACTGGAGCCTCATACTTGTGTGAACTCATATAGATACGACAGTTTATCTCAGGGAGAGAAATGATCTGCCAGTACTCAATCAAGTCGTTTGGATTTGGTTTATGGATACATAGCCCCAAAAAAAGAACTGCCATAGCCCGATTGTTTACAGATGCGAAGACACTGGTGTTCCACGAACTCATGGAAACTCAGGCATCCATCTTGATCCTGACTATCATTCCTCGTGATTCTATCTGGGTTATAACAAAGCGATCCGAGGGATCAACAACAACACCGATTCCCGTCACTTCTTCTGGCGACTTAATAAGGACCCCATTCAGTGCTTTTTCTTTTACATTTTGCGGGTTCTCATTGGGTTTATATTTGCTTGTCATTTGTATTCTCTTCTAGATAAATCATGGGTGTGTTGCTGCAGGGAAATTGATCAATCCAACATCAATTGAACCAAATTAAAGACCTTTGAGCCTTTGAGATAACAGCCCATTTTCCTTGATGATGGTTGATTTATTGTGGAAACCTTCAGCCAGCAATTCGGAAAGCGGCTGGCCCTGACGCGGTATGTGACTGTCCGAGGCACGGGTGGAACTGTGTGCCCCCGTGACTTCCCCGGGGTAATAATCTCCATCTGGCCTCACACTTTGCCCTCCCACCCATCCCACTCCACCATCGACCACACCATCCAACCCGTCGACCGATTTCTTGAACATCTGCAAGTATCATGAGCTCAGTACCAACAAGCAGACGAACGGCAGGAGGGACAGCCACCCGAGTCAGGCCGGCACGCACAGAAACTGCAAACAAAACTACTGCTACTGATACAACTACTAAGACCAAAAAGAGAATTAACTTGGCCGGATCGACTGCAGTGATCTCGGACTACTTCCATTATGCTATCAATTGCATCCTCTTTCAACGCGCCATTTACCAGCAGTCTGACTTCAAAATGGTCAAGAAATTCGGCCTTAACATGATGATCGTCGAGGATGAATCGATTGCTGAGTATCTGAAGAAAATCGTCGATCAGGTTCGGGGTCAGTCTCCTCTCATTTGTTCTTTTTTTTTTTGTGTCACTCTTTCAATTTTTCTTTTCTTGATTGTTTTTATCTTGTTCAAAAGAAGAAAGAAAGTTGAGAAAAGAGATAATGGGACTGATGTGTTTTCAAGTGAACCGAGCATGGTCATGATCAGTGTGGTTAATCGAAGGCAAGATCACCCGACTAGTGCTAGTAATCCAACAGAAGAGCGATGGCGAGACGGTCGAACGATGGGAGTTCGATGTGACGGTGGAAGAGCCACCGATCGACGACCCGAACAATGTCTCTCAACCTTCTTCCCAAGCCCCTGCTTCCTCCTCTTCAAAAAAAGATAAACAAGCTGGCAGTAAGACCAAGTCGAAATCATTGGCCGAGGTCCAACTGGACATCCAGGAAATCATCCGGCAAATCATCTCTAGCGTCTCCTTTTTACCGATCCCCACTGAACCACGTAAATTTCGTGAAAATCTGTTGATCTTGATTACTCGGGTTTTCTCGTCAACAACAACAAGAAGAAGAAGTCTTGAAAGCTGACATGGCTTTCTTCCTCTCATATAGGAACATTCAAAGTATTAGCATATACTCATTCAGTTGGACAAGATGAAGCGACTGAATGGAACGACAGCGACGCGTTTGATATCACTGAACGAGCTGAGCGGGTATCTCCTCCTCCTTCAACCCCTGCTTCCTACTCAAGACTCTCGGAAAAACTCAAATTGATCATCCCCGATGCGCGTTTCTTTGTCATAGGTTAAACTCAAATCATTCTCTACTGCTATCCATCGGGTCGATACCGCCGTGGATTACAAGTTGAGTCCAAACCTTCTTATTCTCTCTCTCTCTTTCTCTTCGAACTTTCAACTTGATTTCTGTGTTAACCTATTTGATCTTTTTGCCTCTTCGACTTGATCCTTGATCTCACCCGGACTAATCGAATCGCAGACTGGGAGAGTCTATCATCTGAATCCGTTTGCTGAAGACTCACTGGGACTCTTGTGCAGAGATCAGGTTTTCAGACCGCCAAAAGTTGAAATCTTGGTACGAAAAATATCAGACTCTAACCCTCTTTTTGAGGGGGAAATGCAGAAACCAGGCGAAATCATCCACTCGTACATGTACTAGTTATTCACGTGTTTTCTATATACATGTATAAATCCATTTATTTCTCATCGTCACTCGTCTTCCCTCCCAGGGAGAGGCGGGGCTCGATTCAACCACCTACTCCAACATTATGGGGAAATGGGAACATGTGACTTGGGCTCAGCTAGGGCTGATTTTCGATGGATGCTTCTTGTGAATATTGTCAATTGTATCTTATCTTCTCCCAACAAACTTATAACATACCAAAAAAAAAACCTCTTATTTTGGCTGTGATGATATCTTATTTTTCTGGTCCGGTTTAGATCTGGCGCGTGTGAAGAATTTGTTGTGTGGTGTTAGATTGTGTATGATTGGGGCGATTTATAAACTGGTTTCTGGATTGGTTTGTTGAAAGGTCTATGTATTTATGTTTGGCTGGCTCGCGTTTTTTTGGATTTCAGAAACTACCTTCAGATGTCTCCAAGTTGATGAATGACAAAAAAAGAAAATCTTCATGTATTTATTAGTAAAAACAGTTCACCAGGAAAATTGTACATAGATTGAGTTTCTTCGTTTGGAATCTATTCTACAAAGACCAGTCATATCATTTTCTTGCCTGGTCAAGGTCATCATGATACCAGAGATATTTGAGTTCCCGCGGCAAGGTGGCACGAACTTGATACCAAGTCTGTCTGTGGCAGGCCCATGGCGCAGGACATCTTCGATGCTTCCTCCCGCTCCTAGATGTGGATCTTCTTGAAGCCGGTTGTAGGGACAATTGACGAGATCATAGCTCCCCCGTGCTCAACTCTTTATACTGTAAGGAAAGTTTTCCGGCGACTGCTTATTAGAAGAAGCCCTTTGCTCAGCTCGAGCTACGAGCTCACCTTTTGGCTTTGCTTTGCTTCTTTTATCCTGATCCGATCACGTCTCATATTCAATCACATCTGATCTAGCCGGATCAGCCACACTGGAACACAAAAAGGTGAGCATTCACATATATACACATAGGCCCATTGTCTGCAAAAACAGTCATTTCATCTTTGCGAGAAATATAAAAAGTCCAGCTTTGTTTCCCAGTTTTTTTTTTTTTTTTTTTAGTACAGAAAACGTATGCGATAGTGCGCTATGGATAGGTGTGAGCTACCATCGAATTTCTTCGTCCACAGAATTTGGTGTATCAATCTTGCCATGGTTAAGATTTGATCAAGGGGTGATGGACATGTTGCGTTTGAGAGTGAGGCAACAGTTGTAAATCTAAAATTGAAGCCAAGATTGTCGTACATTGCAGATCGCGATATTCTCGAGTAACCAGTGCAATTTCTTACAGCCAGTATCCTGAGTCAAACAATCTTGATGGATACTCTTGTAGGAGTTATAGGATTGTGCAATTGGAAACGGAAGAAGTGCAGCCTCGACAATAGGTGAAGTTGGGCAGGGTGACCGAGCGAGGCTGAGCGAGGACATGAGACATCTTCCTTTGGTATATGGTCCACAGGCGCTTGCTTGTGTGGCTAAAAGGAGATCCGTCCCACTCGTCGCTCCAGAGGATGACCAAGGAGAAAGTTCGGAATACTTCTGAACGGTGGCTCGAATGGCAACTTTGTCGCCCAGGACAGCGAAGAAACTATGGGCGACCAGCTCACACATGTGCAACGTCTTGCAACTGTGGCCTTGAGTGTCTCTCATCACCGGACTCAGCCCACACGAGTGAGTCAAGAATCAAGACAGTCTTGGTGGTTATAAAACGTGGTTGATCCAGCTGAAGGTTGCCAATCATCATCCATCCTGTCCATAGAAGCCTTATCTGCAGCAAACTGTCCATAGCTTTTCCCTCGAATCTTACTCGACATTATACTAACATCGGAGACTGTTCATAGAAATAACCCTTCCGGTCGTGGTTTCATCATTCTTTTGGAGACTACACACATTACATACCCATCACAGATTCTTATCTTTTCTTTGCGCACCTTGTTCATATCACTATCAGTTACTTCCATTTTTTTTTTCAATGATGACTGTCTTCGGCTGCTCGCTAGCAATCCTGTCACTCTTTACGATCCATCTTCACTTCATTTCAAGTCTACCCCATCCTGGGAACGAGCATGGTTCACAAGTAACCCTGAAAAATACGACGATTGACGCCGGTGGCTCCATGCCAACTTTTCGAAAGACGCCCCTCGAGCACGGGCATGGTCCTCAGCTGTTCCCTTCCGGGCCCAAGGTCCCTACTCGTCCGGCTCTGCCAAGACATTTTGCCTGGGATCCTAATCTCCATATTGATAAGGGAAATGTCGTGGTTGTTAACGTGCAAACTGGAGAACCCATGTACACTATAAGTCAATCTCCCGAAGATCATCTCACCACTATTGTCTCCAACCTACGGGGTGATCAACTCCTGAGCGTCTGTCTCAAGGTAAGAAATTCCAACTCTGGGCGACGATCTTACATTGAGATCTAGTCCAAGAATTGGTAGCTGATAGCACCAACCCACATTTTTTTGCCATTCAGAAAACAGCAGGTCGCGGTGTCAAGTTCGTATACAATACCCCTTCAGGTGTGCACTACAAGATCGATCCGAGGTTAGCTGCTCCCGATCACTGGTATATGATGATGGAGGGACACGACCCAGACGTCTCCTATGAAACCTTGAAATATTTCCGCCGTCGTTCATCAAACACTGGACCTGTTGAATTTCACAATCATAATCATACTCAAGTCGCTTCATTTGAATGTGAGTTTTTCTTTTCTTTTTTATCCTTGCAGTCGTACCAATCCATGTGAAGCCTTAATATTGATGTTTTCCTTTCTATATTTTTATATGGATTAAGTCGTCAAATCTTTGGACAAAACCCACTGGAAATTGGATACTTTGGGGGCCCTTGACAAGTTTGTCACACTAGAAATTACGCAACCAACAAACATTGGGGATGTGAGTGAAACTTGAAATCCTTCATGAGAAAGCTATATTGAAATTCTGACTCGTCATAATTTAATCTCAAACAACAGCATTATTTCATCGGGATGTGGGCTCTGGTTAAAAGAAGAATAGACCGCTATGGCTTATGAGAAATCAATTCACAAAATTCCTCAAACACAAACTCAATTCAATTCACACATTCATTTTTTACAGTCCAGAGTTACTGATTTCTTGGTTGAAACTACCTTTCTTCTGATATTTCATCTTGTATTAGAAACTCATTTTTAGAATTTTAGTCTCCCAGCCTTGTAACCACAACTCATCTGGCAAAATCTTGAACTTCACTCACATGTATATGAACTATCATTTCCTTCCTTCCTTCCTTTTTCTTTTTTTTTTTTCAAAAAAAAAAATACAAATGAAAAAAATACAAACTTGCACTTCTACTTTGAGGTCTTAGTTTTCAACACCACTTTACTCTGCCACATCAAAAAAAAGAATGAGTCAACTGATTGCTGAAATAAAACATCTCAACCAAACCCAAAAAAAGGATTCAATTGTAGTCAAAAATTGATCATTGGATCTTGAAATTCTGGTACTCAAACCTACAGTGGTGGGGAATCATGTGAAATAAAGATAAATCACTGATGAAAAGTAATACATAAAAGAAATAGAATGTGCATTACTCAAATAAAATATAAAACAGGCAACTAAAAGTGAAATTAACGCTACATACTTTCAATCAATCCAATAAAACAAGCATACTTGAGTTGTTTGAACCCAATAAATCTAGTTTGAATTTCACTTGGAGAGATTGTAACCTGCATCTGCACACTACTGAGACTGGTCCCTGTTAAGAAGTATATACATTGAAACTACTTCATTATATTGCTTTTGAATTTCTCATGCTGCCTGTTCTGTTCTATCTCCTGGTATTATTGTTTTATTCAATTTTTGACCATTTCTTAGTTCTTCTGCACATGATACAATCTAATTAGTTCCACACAGTCCACCCTCATTACATGCTGTTCATTGTGTGAACACACTTCCTCTTCAATCATAGTGAATGTTTTCAGCACTCACAATGCTATGCATTTGATTCATAGTCATATGTGGTACAGAGGGTCTGGAATTTGCTGTGGTGGGGCTACAAGGGTTGGCATCACCAAGGGGTGGAAGCAATCTCAACGGAGGTGGTGGTGCAAGACTGATCAAATTACAGCTGGATAAACACAGCCGGCAGGCATTGGAGAGGTGAAAAAGTGTGCTGCAAGAGAGTGAGGGCAGGTGACGGTGTGGGAGGGAGTGTTGTAGCATTAGAGGGTGGAGTAGCATGAGAGAGAGGAAAAGAGGAGGAGAGAGAGGAGGGGAAAGCATCTTACCATCTACATATTGGAGAATTACTGTTGAGGGGATCCCAGGTGATCAAAACAAAGAGATGACAACCAAACTCACTATGAGGTTGACTGAGTGAGAAATATGGTTAGATTTCAATGAGGAGAGGAGAAGAGAAAGAAACCGGCACTCTAGTAGAGATGATGTGCTTAGTAGAAGCATACCTCACTATGAGCATATGATGACTACATACAGGTATCTCAGCAATTACAGCAGACATATACTAGTTCAAATAGGAGAAAATTAGAGATCAATTAGCCGGTCAAAGTAGTGGAGGAATTCCTGTTGCCCAGATGGTTTGATTTGAAGGAACTGGCTACAATTTTTTTTCTGGTGAGATCTCAAGGTCAAAAAATCTTCACCAGATAATATAAATCTTTATCACTTCCTTCTAAATTGAAAAATCTAGACAATTGGGAACCCTCTAGTAGTAGCTTAATGCAAAGTAGAAGTGGAGAAATGTTTACAAGATTCTTACCAAAATACCATCAAGTAGCTACTGGAACCATCATGGAGGAGGCTCAGGAGCAGTAGGTCAATAATTCCCTGGTTTTTTTGCTCTTCTTTCTACACTGGAATAAATTTTTTTCCAGTCAATCAGGTCAACCAACCTCACTGAACAGAAGGAATTCCTTCCAGTCAATCAGGTTAACCAACCTCACTGAACAGAAAGAATTCCTTGCAGTCAATCAGGTTCAACAAAATCACTGGCCAGAAGGAATTGGTTCCAGTCCATGAGGACTGACCTGACTGACCTGACTGACCGGAAGGAATTCCTTATTTTCAATGAGGTATGGAAAGAAAAACAACTGTTCAAATCAGTGATACCCTCACATAATTGGAAAAGGGAAATACTAAATTTAGATCCAATAAAGCCCTCATATCACTCATCAAGACATAACACAAACAGGTGAACCTTGGAACTTCCCTAATTAAACCTTACAAACACTAAGATTTGGCACTGCCAGCATAATTGGCTAGGTTTAGGGTATCTCAGTTGAACTGGGATGCACTCAACCAAGTTAACATCTCAACCAAGTTAACATCTCAACCAAGTTAAACTTGGTTGCATCTCAACCAATGAAATATAAATCCAAGGTACCTCCCTTCAATTAATATTTCATTGGTTGGGACCAAGCAGCTTCAAATTGGTTGAGTGCATCTCAGTTAAACTAAGATAGATAAAGGAAAGATTTTGCAAAGTTTAAGTCTTAATTTGCACTCAGGAACCATTAGAGGAAGCCTTAGTAGTTCCTGAGTCGCAATTCTGATCTTAATCTAAGGCTCAAATTAAGCTCAAAATTATCTCATCCAGGAAGAATTTCAGCTGGTTTCAGGAAGCAAAAAGTTTATTGTGGACCCCGTTATTGAAATATATATGCCCACATATAGATTGGATTAGAATAATATTGTCAAGATCTGAGCTTATTACAACATGGTGGAGGAGAGAAATAGAGATGGCACCAATTACTTGCTAATTGTTGGCAAGTACTTGTTGCCTTCCAAAAAGTACTTGCCTACAGGTGCAGGTTCAAGTGCGGGTGTCTGAGATCTGAGAATTTTCACGCAATTACTTGTACTTGTTGCAGGTGCCACCTGTGCACCTTTACTTCAGATGGCACTTGATGTTCTTGGTTTTCCAGGTGCTTTTTTATCTCAATTATTAATATTATGTTGTTGATTTTTTACCAACTTTCCTGCAAATCCTGAAGCAACCACTGTTGATGTGGAGCAATCCTTGAGCTTTGGTAGGGAATACTCTTCTCTCAGGAGGCACAGGCTCAGTGAAAGGTCTGTCACTAGGAAGATGAGTGTGGCATTTTACTCAAAAAAAAGGTAAGATCAAGAGGGTGTTGGAATTTTGACTCTTCCCTTCTTCATCTCTTTCACTTCTCAATTTTATGATAAATCTTTCTTATATTACTTCACTGAACTACTAATAATTATATAGTCTGTCTAGTAGCAAGTCATGAAATTAAACATCAAATTCTTGTAGTCAAAGAACCCTGAATCCCTAGTTGTTAATTTCTTTCTTCTCCATGCTTATCTTCTGGTTATTCTTAAAGTTTTTTGTGTTGAGATTGATCTGATGAAACTAACATCTTCATCCAAAATGTGGTACTTGTTTTCTTTTGTTGTTTATCAAGTAGAGCTATCATAAATAAAAAATGTCTCTCTCATGTTTCATCAACACTGAATTCAAGTTCCTCTCAGTCTGTTTTTTCTTATTCATTATTGTTTCTTTATTCAATTCTCCACAACCACTTTCTGACCATCTTGTACTCAGTCTATTTAAACATAGTTAGTTATAAGAAATCAAAGCCCATCAGTTCTTTCCCTCATTTTTTTCCCATCTGTGCCGTTCCAGTGAAAAATAAAAAACTTCACTGCTTTTCTTTTGTCCCATCAAAATCAATAATTCAATTTGCAATGGTCTTAACTTCAACAGAGGGGGTTTTTGAGAAAATGGAAGGCAAATAAGAAGAATGAGAAGAAAGCAGCAAGGGAGAAATCTGGAAGAAAATGAAGGGCTTATTATTACTATTTACAATCACTTAGTTCACTTAGTTTACAAATACAAATCTCTGAAATGAAAACACAAGAAATTTATCACCTTTATCTCTCAAAATAAGATTGCATACATACAAGTACTTGCTTTGTCCTGCCCCCATAAGTACAAGTACAAGTATGGGTGTCTGAGATCTGAGATTTTTCACGCAAGTACTTGTACTTGTTGCATGTAAGGTCTGGATATGAAACTAGAAGGAAATTCTAGTACTATTCCTGTCCTAATAAAATTTTGTTAGTAATTTTATATTAATTTTTTAAGTTTAAAGTATATTTAAACTTACAAAAAAAAGGGGATTGTTGGTTAAACAATCAAAGAAATTGTAACCTCACAATATTACTTGTTAAGAGGCCTAGAGTTGAGTTTTAATCAATACTCTGAATTCCAAAGGAGGAATTGAGGGAGGGTGAATTGTTTGTTAGACAATATATCACAAGGAGTTCGTCCAAAAAGGTCTTTTGGATGAGTTGAGGATTCCTGGGCAAATTCTAGAGCAATACTTCTGCAACAGAAAGTAAGAAAATGGCCAATTTTAAAGGAATAAGGAGCTGGGATCTTTTAAGGGTAAGGGCTACAGTTTAAGACTGAAGGTAGCAGTAAAAGAGGAGCTCTGTTTCGTGGTTGGAATGCTAAGGTTGATAAGAGAAATGGTTGGAAATGCTGGCTTCAAGTATATAGTAGTATATATGGTGAAGTGGGTGAATTTCTGAGGTTTAAGCACTCAATAAAGGAGTCTTTATATAGCCACACACCTTAGGGTGGCTTGCAGTGCATTTTTGCACGATGACACTGATGCTTTGGGCTTGTTTGGCTGAGTGGAAGCCATGCCCAAGGCCTTGGTTATCAGTATCCCAAAGGCTGAAACAGTTGTAACTGTAACCACGGGTACAGCTACCCAGTCAGGATATTATGATGCAATACCAATCCATTTTGGAGGGGATTGGTTGAGGTATTCTGATATGTACTGGCTGAGAACAGATTAACTACTTGGGCCAGATTGAAATGGGCCAATTCTCAATCCTGTTGATTTCAAACTGGACCAGGGTTATTCTGATGGATGGCTGATGTAAGAGGATATTCTGATTTCGCTCAGAAAGGTTATTAAGGTTAGGGATAAACAAAACAGGTTACATGACCAAGTGGCTGGTCAGGGTTCAGAATATGTGGCCTAAACTGGTTACTTGGTTATAGTTGCTGAACTACAAGGTTGTACATGTTGCAAAAGCCTTGAAACCTTGTTTATCTTGAGTTCGCCTCCTATGAACTTTGTTTATGTCATCAGCTGATTTGGTTCTGTAACTTTAAATGTCTGTAACTCTTTAGTTATTGATTATTTTACAGAATTCTTTGTTTTTTGAGTATGTAGTTACCCAGTGGTATGTAACTACATGAATTTTGTTTTTCTTTTCAAAGTAAAGTAAAAAAGTTAATTTTTATTTTTAAAGGCCTTTGTGGTCATTTGCAGGCTTTTGACCATATACACTTTTATATGTAGATTTTTATGCTTAATATTAATTTACTATTTATAATATTTTTTCATGGGCTAGTCTTGAGACTTGACTATGAGTTGTAATTTTATTATTTTATATTTTGAGGCCTATGGGTATGTATATACCTCAAGGCTGACATTGCAAGTGTGCAAGTATGAGGGGCCATCTCTAGGGAGAAAGCAGCAAGAAATTGGCCTTAGTGAGTCAATGGCAGAAAATGAAGGAGGACAACCAATGGGTCTTGATTGCTTGTAAATAGTTGGGTTAAGTAGAATATGTACAAGCAGGTCAAGATGTGGTGGACATGATAATGAATAATGAATATAAAAGAAAGAAATTCTCTAGAATAATCAAAAAGGGTATGACAACAAACACCAGCAATAAAGTATATACATCTTCTGAGAAGATAAGCTGACCTTTTCAAAGAAAATGAGCCCTTATTAGACAGGGTTCAAAGACTACATGCTTGGGGGTCAGATTTTATAACAAAAAAGATGAGTCAGAATTTAGTGGAGGAGATTTCAAGGTGGTGAAATGGCGGATCCAAGTGATCATGTAGAGGAAAGAGAGTAAGGCAGAAGTTAGAAAAACGAATAAGGAAAAAGAAAGATGATGAGATTCACAATACATCCCTACTTCTGGGCATGTGACATCATTGATGGCTCTATTTAGTTCCAACTAAGAATAAGCTCATTTCAGCAGAATTTCATGTAACTAGCTCTGTTGTGTCATAAGCATGTAATG